GCTCTAATTGCTGCTCAGGGCAATCCTGCTCCAAGTGAGGGGCCACTCTCCCAGCCCTGCTGGCTTCTGAGCACACGCATGTGCAGACAGCTCAGGCTGGTCCACCCTATCTTTCCTGGAGGAGCAGTGTCCCTATCCATTAGAGAAGTTGCATGCTTGGAAGGGTGACACCATCCTTATTGTTTGGGAACCCCAAGCCAAAGTAAAGGGGCACCAAACCCTGTGACCCCCCACGAAATGCCAGCGCTTTGCAGCGGTGGGAAGTGGAAGGCCAGTCCCTTTCAGGCCAGGATATGTCAGGCTCCTGCCTCCTTCCCGCTGCAGGTCGCCCTTCACGGAAGTCCTTTGAGGGATATTTGATGTGCACCATGGACCTGTGTCAGCACATAGTTTCAGGCAAAGTCACCAAGTGATTAAGGAGGGCTGCTCTGCTTTGGAGGTACTCACTTAAGTAATGCCTATGAAAGAAGAAAGGAACCAGACTGAAAGGAGTTACCCTGGGTGCAAATTCAGCAATTGGTATGATGGTGGGGATGAGGCCGGGCGCCCCTGCTCCAGCGAGGGATGGGACACCCCTTCTCAGGGGTTGCCCCTCCTCTAGGGCGATGGGGCCTTGCGCCATTCCTCCCACGCCATTCCTCCCACGACCTGTTGGACAAGAAGATCCTAAAATTCAAGGCACCCTGAATAGTCAAAACAATCTTTAAAAAAGAGAGAGAAAGAGAAAAGAGAAAAAAAAAGAAAAAGAAAAAAAGTTGGAGGACACACACTTGGAAATGTAAGGGTCCAGCGGAACGTCGCAGAAAGAGACCACACAAGAGACTGGCTCCATGCAATTGGCAAAAGGGGATTTATTGGGGATCCATTCCAGAGCGCTGGGGCTCCGTGCTCACTCAAGAAGGGAGAGCAGCCCGAGCCCAGAGCAGAGGTCAAGCAGAGCTTAAGTACACTTTTTGGAGAGGGCGGTGGGCTTTGCATACATCAGAACAAATCATCATGAGGCGCGGGGAAATTGAACAACAATTCTGAGATGTGATTGACACATTCATTGGTGGGAACAGGTCGGGCCGGGGTGATTGGTCATTCCTAAGCGGGTTACACATTCAAACTGATTGGTTCGGGCCCTGTGAACTGCACAGGGCCCTAGGCTAAATGGCCAGTAGGGCGTTGTCTTAACTATCTCAGGAATCTGGGTGTAACAGAGGAACTTAATACCTAATCTTTTACATTCAAGCTTTCCAGCTTAGAAACTTTACCCTTTCAGAAGCACCTAAAGCCACCCAGCCTTCCTTTACTGGTCCCTTGTCCCCTCACACCACATCTCTGGTCTCAGGGGCCAAGAACCCAGCCCTGTTCTCCACATTGTCCATTGTGCGTGGGCACCCTCCCTGGCTCTGGTGACAGCCATGTGGCTACCCTCTGGATCCCATATCTGGGAGCATACTTAGGTTTTATGTGTCTTACTTCTTCGTAACACTGTATTGAAATATGTATATGCTTTGAAACTAAATTTTTGGTGCAGCACAGGCTAAGAAGATCTTTATGATACTAGATCAACAGGAAGGCTCTTCAGATAATTTTACTATTTTTATTTTAACTCTCAGGTGAAAATGAACAATTTATCTCCTCCTATTATTCTTGAAATCAGATTTTAGCTGAGAAGAATAAATGGGGTGCTTCCCACATTATGATTTAATGGTTTATAAGATGGAACAGCAATTTTTATTCTTCAGTCTTTGCTAGTTCTGTAATTCTATAATCCCCCAGTTGTTCTCAGACCTATCTGTAATGGGTCTTTCCCCTGGTCTGCCTACTGTGATAGCAGATTATGTTCAAAATGAATATTTTTAAAGACAGTATCAAGAACTAGGAATAAATGACTGACTGAACTTATAATGGCATGACAGGGTGATATATTTTTCCTATGCTGGAAACATAAATGTAATCATAGTACAAATGTTATATGATATTTAAAAACATTTAGATATAAATATGAATTGCTCTGGGGTATTACATTCTTGTATTTGGACCATAATAACTCTTTGTTAAATGTCCCTTTTCAAGAAAATCTTAATATCCTTTTCACATATTTCTTAGCATCACTACAATCCAGATATCCCTAAGATCCACCAAATCTCAACATAGAAACAAAATCATAATATTAATATTCAAAATTTGATGGCCTCTTTCCTTCACCAATATATGATAGATTATTTATCACCCAATCAAAATATGAAATAATCATCAAAAATAAAGACCAGCATTAATCAGCACATACTTATGTATGTGCTTGGCATTATATATATGTGTGTGATTTGCAATTTCAAATTTAATATTTATTACAAATCTAAGAGGCAAGTAGTTAGTGCCGTTATTCTCTCTTAAGAAATAAGAAAGCACAGGTAAAGAGAACTGAAGCAAAATACTTGAATTTTATATAAAATCTGATGAGACATGATGATTTGAATCTAGTTCTCTCTAACTTAGAAACTATGTTTTTAAATTCTTAATGTTTCTCCTGGAAATGTTTGATGTTTACTTATAAATAATTTGTTTACCTTTCTCTTCCATGTGCCTTTTTATGCTTATATCAATGAAAATTCAGTGGGGGTAGATGGTAATCCACTTTCCTATATTTTACCAGGGCCTTCATTGAGGAGACTGCCTTGCTCACCATTTTGGTGTTATAGAGCTGGATCTGAGATTCTTGTGCTGCCCTAAGACACTGGATTCCTTTACTTCCTCCATTAAGAAAACATAAAACAGTTTTTAAAAATTAAGGCAAAAATGTGTCTGCAAACATTCTGTTCAGTTAACTGTTGAATTTAGTGTTTTTTATTTTTGTATTGGTATTTTATTCATTGGATAAACACACACACACACACACACACACACACACACGCACACATACACACATTATGTTAGTCTCTTGAACTAGTATTCTCATCTGTTGTTTTCCATTAGTGTAAATGAAATTTTGAGAGGAGTTTATTATGGTATTTGAATGTTTTTTTCTTTTTAGTATTTGATAATGATCCCTTGAAGGTCCCATTATTTTAAAATAGAACCCCAATTTTTAAGAATTGGATTTATTTCACTTACAGGTCCAATTTGTGGAGAGGATACCATATACTATACACTATCTTCCTATCATCTGTATGTGCTGGTGAATTAGATTTTCCTCTTACTGTCTTTGTTTACACATGTTTTCAAATAAATGATTAAATCTATCAAATTCACATGTTCAGATTATTCTAAAATTCAGCTTAGATTCAATGAGACTTCTTACTACATTAGTCATATTTACATTATATTTGTGTCTATTTAAGTTCATTTTTAGACCTTTGAAATTAAGGTGCTTGTATCAGAGAATTTAAAATTTCCTCGAGATAGCATAGTACTTGAAATTTACTGAGCGTCAATAAACTAATATTTATTGAAGTGAACTGAAGAACATTCTTGCTTTCTGCTTATTTGCTTGTTCAAACTTACTTTCACTATCATGTGGGTATCAACAATAATCTTCTGAAGGTGTTACTATCCCCTTTAGACAGCACAATCTTACCATTTTCAACTTTCAACAAAATAATTCTGTAGCTTTTGTCTTGCTTTCTAATTTAAGTATTTTCTATTTGCCTGCCAGCTTATTCTGTATTCCTGTGATCAGCCTTTTGTTCCTGTTCTCATCACTGGAGGGCTATTTTATTAGTTGGAGACTTTTGCTGGAAAGAATATTAAAGTATAATTTTCAAAAAGTTGAAAACATGACTTTCATAACAATATAAAACGAACATGTTAAAGATTTAATTTAACAAAAGAATCAGTAAGATGTTAAACCTGATTTGAAGGAGAGTTTGAGTAATTGGTATTTTTATAGTTTATTAGTCTATTAAATGCAAAAATAAATTATCTACTAGCTGTATCTGTAATGAGTGGCTAAATTGACAAGAAGTGGATAATATTTGAGTTCTAGTCCAAAAATGACCTGTATTACTGCCACAGTCTGGCTGGGCACAAATCATGAGCCACTCAAGCAGAAACAAACTTTATTTCCGAACTCCCTTTCCCCAGGACACACCACACACCAACCGGAAATCCCTCCTCCAGCACTTCCCCAACCAAGGAGAACTCGCCAGGAATCCCCTTGAGAACTCCAAAGTAGAGAACTCCAGAGTACCTGGCGCCTGAGGCCGACAGCAGGGGTCTAATATACAATTGAATACACAGCTTAACATAACAATCATCATCTCAAAGGCTTGATGGTGTCACCTCTCAACCACTCCTTTCTGGCAAAAATGCCATGAGTCATTGTCATTCCTACTGGGCTATGGCTCTGGGCACATTACTATTGCTAATGAGTCATTTGCAATTCTCCTAGTCAAGGATTATTTGTGAGGTTCTTAGACAAGAGTATGATATCAATTTTCTGTAAATTAATCTCTAAGATAAAGAAATACAAAGTATCACAATAGATAGTAAATTTGTAGTCAAATGTCCACATCCTAGACTATCAGGCAATTCCCCCACTGTATTGAAAAATAGTTCCAATTTTATTGCTTTATCTGTTTCCAAATTTTGGATAAATTTTCAAGAAAAGTTTAATTTCCGTGTGGAATATAACTGAAAATGTTCCCCTGATCGTGTGGAAACAAAGATGTCATAACAAATCATTTATAAAATTGGTACACATTCTTCCTCTGTCAAAACAGGTCAGGGTCACCTGGCCCACCTCTCCATTTTGCCATTTCACCCTCACTAGCCAGGTCAGGGTCCCCTGCCCACCTCCATTTTACCATTTCCTCCCCTGTATCAAGTGGTGAGCTTGTGTAAAATGTAAATTTAGAGTTAAAATAGGTAAGAATATTTCTCCACTAATCAGGGTGGCAGAGTACCTTTCTCCCTGACCAAACTAGATAAATAAGTGAGCAAGAAACACTTTGACTGAATTTTGAGATCTTTACTTTTATACTATTTTGTTGTTGTCTATTTTTTTTACATAGTTTCTCAAGAACTAAAAGAGTCAGATGCAACTGGCTGCATAACCCTCATATGACACTGATTGAAGAAAAATGCACTGAATAATAGATAACAAACTGAGAATCTTAAGGTAAATATCTATTCCTTTTTTTCTAATCAGAATGCATGTTGAACTAAAGAATAGGTTGTTTTTATTGAGTTTAACCTGGCTAGAACCATTTGCTTGCATCATTTTCTGAGTAGAAATACTTCATGGTAACATAATTGGGGCTCAAAAACATTTGCTGAATGGATTAAATACTAATAAAGAAAAAAGAATTGTGAAAGGAAAACCATTCCTTATTTTTAATGAGAATTGTCTTGGCTATCTCATTTTTGGTGGAAGTATGTTTACACATCATGTCAGGTGTCCAGAATTACATTTGCTTTTACTGAATTTTCCTTCCTTTTCTCATTGTTTTTTTCCATATTAGATTATAATACCCTTAGAATCCTATTTAATTTCACCAACAATTTTAAAGCTATTAACAATGAGAAAAGCAAACAATCTTAAATATTATGAACTTGCTTAACAGATATTTATATAGTGCCGCAGTCTGGCTGGGCACAAAATCACGAGCCACTCACAGCCTTGTAGATTCAAACAGCAATTCTTTATTTCTGAACTCACACCAGCACTCTACACACTTTCTGGGGAAATCCACGTTCAGAATCCCAAATACTCTCTGAATCCCACAGAACTCCATGGGAACTCAAGGAGCGGGTGTGCCTGAGGCAGCAGGATATGCCCTGTTCCCAGCAGGGTACACCTTAAACCTGGAACCACCCTAAACCCAAGGAGAGCCCTAAACCTTGATTTGCCCCTAAACCCAGATCCGCCCTGGTCCTTGAGCAAGGTCACCTTTCAATACAATGGCACTGCAAATGACCTGAGTCTAAGACAAGCCCATTTCCACACTGGGGAGTCCTTCCTCTAAGCAACATGGGGTAGGCTGACAAAGAAATTGCCATGCTTTATTCCTACTTGGCAATGGCTCTCAACAATATAGGAATTGAAAAGTGCTTTTCATGTGTAAATTGTAAAAAGACTCTTCTCCTCTTCTTTACTGATGTATGCTACCCAAAATAACAGTGTCAGAATAATAATGAAGATTTCTTTTTTCACTACTATTCATAATTTTTTTCCTGGTTCTCTTGTAACAAAATTTGTATCTTTTGTTTTCTATCTACCCATACAGACTATCACGGTATAATCTGGAGTGTGTATTTAGATTTCTTTCCTTCAGACCATCATTTGTGACAAGGAGAGAGAACTGGGAAACTTAGGTATTATTAACTTTAACCCATCCAATTTATTTTCTCTCCAGTAGCATGCACACTATGGGGTCATTCTATTTAGGCAATAACACAAATTTTTTTTTCTCTCAACTCCTCTGGGAAATCCTGTCATCCTAACAGAGTCTACTGTATGTTATTATCAAAAAAGAAAGGGTATAAGACAGGATTTTAGTATTTCCAGATAGCTGAGAAAGAGAATATGATAGTAACATCTCTTCATTCCCACTCAGTACTTAAAACAGTAACAAAGTGGCAAATAGAAAAACAATGAGGAAATCACATAGGGAACACAGCCCCAGCTGGACAATGAGGAGCACATGAGAGGACAGAGTATGGGGAAAAGAGTTTTGCTCTCAGCCATTTGAATATCATAAGCCTATGCTACATTAAAAATCATTGCCCAGAATTCATAAGCATCCATGGCCCCATGCTAAGAAATGACATACTTAAGAGAGATTCTGTATTCTGGTTTTTAAGTGATTTATCATTATTTCCTCCAATAGTAAATTTTTACATGTGAGACATTGATTTTGATTTCTATGGCTTCTGCTCTACAGTTATTAAAAAAAAAAAAAAACCAGAGTAGTGAAGAATTGAAATATTTTGATACCTTAAATGTCACCGTGAAAGAAGTTCCTGAGCAGCTAGAAGATGTACTTCTCTCACACAAGTACATCAGGGTGCCCACTTTTACCTCATTGTGCATCTCATGATGATTTGAAAAGGAAGCATTTATGAAATGTTTGATGTGCAGGATTTATTATAGCTATAATTTAAATTTTGGCAAATTACCAAGAATAGAAACATGCATTAATAGTAAGAACCAATAAAACAATATTAAGTTGAAAGTTTGACACACATCTAGCCGTTTCTCCGCCCACAGTTCACATGGAAAGAGTGCAGTGCACTGGAGGCAATTACATTTTCAGAATGAAAGGAATTATAATTCTTGATTCTCCCACTCATTCACTTCAAGTCTTGCTCAATGGCAAAATGTAACTAGAGATTTAATAACTAGTGTTACCCTGAGAGAATGCTTTAGGAATAAATTTAGATTAAAAAAATGTATCTATTTCCTCTATTTAACTGGCAGATTTCTCTCTTGCTTAAGAGCAGACTGACAGGGAGCAGAGCTTACTCACCTTTTTGTACTTATGGGCACTTGTACATTTGGAGCACAGCTCTTTCAGCCATAATATGAAACAGCTCTCTCCCAAACCATTTTTTTTAAACAAGCTGTTTTATTATCTGGATGTTAGATATTTGAAAAATGACTTGGGAGGCTGAGGCAGGAGGATCATGAATTCAAAACCAGCCTCAGCAGATTAGCGAGGCACTTAGTAACTCAGGGAGACACTCTCTCTAAATTATATATATATATGGGGGATGGGCACATCAATGTTTATAGCAGCACAATTCACAATAGCTAAACTGTGGAACCAACCTAAATGCCCTTCTATAGATGAATGGATTAAAAAAATGTGGCATTTATACACAATGGAATCTTACTCAGCAATAAAAGAGAATAAAATCATGGCATTTGCAGGTAAATGGATGGAGTTAGAAAAGATAATGCTAAATGAAGTTAGTCAAATGCTGCATGTTTTATTTGATATAAGGAGGCTGATTCATAGTGGGATGGGGAGCGGGAGCATGGGAGGAATAGACAAACTCTAGATAGGGCAGAGGGCTTGGAGGGGAAGGGAGGGGACATGGGGTAATTAATGATGGAGGAATGTGATGATCATTACTATCCAAAGTACATGCATGAAGACATGAATTGGTGTGAATGTACTATATATATAACCAGAAGAAAAGAAGGGGGGGAATGGGGATGTTGCTCAGTAGCACCCTGGGTTTAATCCCAGTAGCCACTCCCTCCCCCGCCCTCCCAAAAAAAAGAAAGAAAAGGAAAATAAGGTGGTAACACACATGGAGGGCTAACATTCTGACTTAAGAGGAGGGAAATGAACATGAATATATTTATTTTGAAAACATATGGATGTTCCCCAAAGGAACCAAAGATGTGTTTTTAGTTCAACCTAAGCCTTTGGAAATTACTGTATTAGTAAAATTTTATAAGTAATATTCAATTTAGTTCTTGGCCCAAATTCTTCCTTTTTCATGTATTTATAGGTCCATTTTAATTCTTGGCCAGGCCTAGGACTGAACTGAGCCCCCTCACTGGAAGCATTCCATAATCCTTCCTTCCTACCACATGCGGAGATCTGGTTCTGTGTTTTGTTCATAGCTGTGAGCTTGGCTGTCTGGAGAATGATGGATGCACTTCCCTCTTCTTTGCCACTGTCCTTGTACTATAATTTATTCAAAAACACTTTTGTTTTATTAGAAAATTGCAAAAGTCTTTAAAAATTTTTGAAATAATATTTGACCTCTTTTGAATTTTCATATCTACTCATTTTCTTGGCTTCTGCAACAGCATTGATGCTGTGTGTCCTCTTCCCTAGCTCACTGCTCACCTTTCAGTCTCCCTACTGGAGTTTCTGGCTTGTCTTCTACTTTACTCAAATTTAAAATATATTATTAATTTTTGGAGTGACTAATTTGGCATATAATGTGAAATTTAAATGTTAAAAGAATAAATGGATAAAATATTTCCCTTCATATGGTGTCCTGTAGAGATGTTTTTCTACTGATTGTAGCAATTTCTGTATCCTAATCTGCCCCTTTATTTTTCCTTTTAAATGTATATTTTGATATTATCGCCTTCTAGTTCTATTGAAATGATCTCATCTTTTGTAATTATCTCACAGTATAATGCATCTAATACAGGTTCTATGGATTTATATTTGGGTGTTTTTTTTTTTTCAGACATTTTGCAAACTTTATTGTATACTTCCAAGTATAACCATAGAATGAACTTTTAAGATAGAAATTTTGAACATTTTAATTTTCAACCAAAACAATATCAAATTACTAATACCATAGATGCTATTCCCACCTACAATAAATGTATCTGCCTTGTTTACTTTTAAATCTCTAATTTTAAAATATTAATTTCTTCTTTCTTCACATCCTTTTCCTTCTCCTCCCACCATATTATAATTTACTATTTGATTTTGATTCCAAAGTACTTGTACTCTTATTGTATAATTAATCTACTTTACATTTAACTCCATCCCTCATATTAAAATATAAATATATTAGCATAAATACACTATCTTTTTCTTTCCCTCCTGTTAATTCTACCCTGTCAGCATTGTCCAGGATCTGAATACCTTGTTTGTATTCAGTAACATAAAGCCTTAGTGAATTTTCTGCTTAAATATGTTTCAATTTGAAGGAAAAAAACAACAACACTGGCTTGTTGTTGCTTCAAGTCTTCCAATCCAGGCTCTCCTGGGTTTAGATCTAGGCACCAGTATTTCCCCTTCTCTGAGCTTGAATCTCCTGTGTAGGACTTTCATCTATTGGTTACTTCTCCCTCTGTGGTGGAAGACTCGCAGTTTGGTAATTTTAGGAATATACCAATTATGTACATTGATATCCTCTTTCTCCTAAGTTTTAATGCCCCTCCCTCCAAAAATGAAGCAAAGAAATCACATTTTAATCTCATTAATTGCATTAGGTGCTTTTTCCCAATAAATACTTTAACCTGGAAATGGAATGCCAGCATTAGTCAATCTGAGTCAAATGTATTCTATTATTCAAAGGTGAGATCATTAGCCATACCAAAACCATATGGACTTTGAGTGAAAGAGGAATGGTATGTTTAAGCAAAATTAGATGATTAGTGCATGATAAAGGAGAGGATAGATGGCAGGTAGAGTA